CTACAGCACCAGCAATCCTTACTGCAGAGTGGGCTACAGCACCAGCAATCCTTACTGCAGAGTGGGCTACAGCACCAGCAATCCTTACTGCAGAGTGGGCTACAGCACCGGCGTGCAGGCAGTACTGGTCCCAGCTGCAATTTTGTAGCGTGATTCTGAGATTCGGCTCAGTCGGCCATCTTCTTTTCCATTTGCACTCGCTCTTTTTGTGTTTGGAAATCAGCTTTGGTGTCTCCGTCACTGGTGTGGATTCGGTGTCGTTCCCTTGCAGTGTTATTTGCCCCCTCGTTGCATGATGTGGGTCGTCCTGGATTCCCAGAGCTACGAGCTGATCGGTTAAACATGCTTGGCCCGTCTGAGCTGTTCCTGTCAAACTCCCATTGGTCTCCACTCCTTTGAGTGGTACCTCATGAAGGACTTGTAATATCGAGGTGACTGGCTGGATCAGAGTAAGAGACTGTTCAGGACAGAGCCGTCCTTTTCAAAGAGGAAGCTGTTTTAGATCATGCTGGGTTCTCCAAGTGAGCCGTCATTGACCTCATCGGCCCTTCTAGCAGAGCACACTGGTCAGACAGCTGCCTGGAAATCTCATCAGTCTCCACTGATGACTTCCACTCTACTGCAGTTGTCTAGGCTTCTGAGCATGTGCTTGGGCGTGACTGTGACTGAGTGGTTGGTGTGTGTCTGAGATGCAGGGATGAGCACTGAGGAATAATCTGGTGTGCGGTATGCTCGCTCTCAGATGTTCGGCGCATTCCCAGATCCCCTCCCCTCCCCTCACCTCATTTTGCTTCGTCAGCTTGATGCAGTGACAGTAACCTGACCTTTTTTGGCAATGATGATATCTGTATTCCTACATTCCTGTCTGTCTTCATCATCAGCCATCTAATTATTAGTCGCTTTCTCGTTATTTTCCACTCGTGTGAGCCAAAGCGTGGCTGTACTCCCCCTCTACTGGCATTTCCCAGAATGCTTTGAGGCGAAGGTTTTGGTGTATCTGTGATTGAGGCTCCCACTAGTGTTCAGCTGACTGACTCGCACTCTGTAGGTTGCTCCTTGTTGAGAATCCTGGATGGATGTCCACTTTCTGAAGGAGTACATGTCTACCCTGGTGCCTCTTGGCCTATGGTAGGATGTGGCTGGTTGGGGGGGGGGGGTAGGATGTTTTAATGACAATCTCTGCTTTGCTCTGGCAGTCAACATATCAGGCCTCGATCTGGAGAAGTCTGGCTCCTGCGTACAGACCTCCGCACAGCAACTTACCCACTCACAAGCATCCCCAGTTTTTACGAGTTTGCCTTCCTGCTCCTGGGTTGGCTCATCCTAGCTTAGCCTGCAAGTTCCCGCTTGTTGGTATTTTTAGCAAAACCCCAACCTGGTTTTGCTTAAGGTCTTGACACAGAAATGCCCCCAGAAGATGTCAGAGTTGACTAATGACTCATGTGACTGACGTGACCATATTGACACTATGGTTGGTGTTGCTGCGCTGAGGGATGTAGATCCATCACACCAGAGGGTCTATGGGGAAGGTGCTCAGCTGGACCAGAACCATCTAGTTTCTGCTGTTGAACTGTCCTGTCTTAAGAGCAGGAGGAACAACCAGCTTGTCCTTATGAGATGATCTTTGGAAGCTCCTCCGTTCATCCTGTTTCATCAGAGGGGTCACTAGGGGGTGCTCATTCTGCTGCATGTACAGTTAGTCTGGAGACATGTGGAAGGATTGGATTGGCCCTTGCCTTGCCCTCAGAGTCAGTTCCAGGCCCCGGTTGCTCATGCTGATGGGGCCTCTCGCGGACTCCCACGGTGGTATGATACATTGTCCTTTGTGCCGAATTCCTGTCTCCGCAGGCTGACTTTCCTCCAAATTCCTCTATGTTTCCGTTTATTTAAAACATTCCTTTGAGTGTCCCCAGCAACTTTCCTAGCTGATAGTTTAGGCTGGCTGTTTCAATGAAAGCCAAGGCTTGGTGTCCTCCTCTGCCCGTCCCTGTCCATGATGGTATGAATGTGACAGCGGAGCCAGTGGGGGCAGGGTCAAATGTCAGGGGTCAGGTTGTGCCCCTACCATGAAATCCACCTGACCCCTTTCTGCAGTTATGTGCGTATCTATCCTACAGACAGCTGGTGAGTGACAAGAGTAAAGAAAACAACTGATTATTCCTTGCTCTAATTACTGGGGAATTGCTACACTATTCTTTGATATAAAAATCTGGTGAAAGTGTGTTGCACAAATTGAAATGGCATTTTGATTTGTCAAGACCAGGGAGTGGCAAGAGGGAACCTGCATGGACAGTGTCAGCATCGCAGGAGGCTCTGTGGAGTGTCATTCATGTTAGTCCCGGTCATGCTGTGGATACCCTGTAGAGAGGGAAGAGAGGAAGTGACATTGTATCATGTGGTCAAAAAGTTGTTCATAAACAAGCTCTGAAGGTTCATTAACTGGAACCCTATTTGTATCAGATGGAAGAGGGAAACAAGACTTAAAGAAGTCTTAAAGAGCCTTCCACAAAACGGCAGCCTGAGAGCTGTTTTATGCACCGTGAGGAGTGTGCCGGCTTTGTCTTCCTGTCCCTCAGGCCGGACGCAACAAAAACCCCCCAGGCTCCCTTTGTGTCTCACAAAGGGGAGGAAGCAGAGCACAGGGGGCCTGCTGGGGGGGGGGGGGCATGGGCCCAACGCTGGGTTTTTCCACAACACAGCACACACCCCGCCAGAGCGTTTCTCGAGGCAGGACCACGGCGGGAGGGAGAGGAGCTCACTTTACCTTTTAAGGCCCTGCTCATTTCCCCCTGGGGGTGGTGGGGGGGGGGAAGCAAAACCGTGGCAGGCGATGGAGCAGGCAGGACGGAATTAGAGTGGCTGCACCCAGCTGTGTCTTCAGGCCCTGTGAGCTACAAACCTGTGGGCCGGATCACACAGAGATAGCATCCGGAAAGACCAGATCAGTGACTTCCTTGTGATTTAACGGGATGGCAGTCTCAGGAATCCCAGTGCCCTCGAGCTGTGAAAAAGGGAAAAGCCTTCAGGGATGTGGGTCATGTTGGGTTAAAGGGTAAGCTGACGTGTCACATCTTTCCACATTCCCAGTTGCACTGTCAGCCCCTTCCAGCCAGTCTGGGAGTTGGGGTCCAGGCCGCTGCATCCCAATGACGCGGCATAGCGAGGCCGGACAGTCTGGAGCTCCGCCTTCCCGTGGAATCCTTCTGCTGTCTCCCAGCCGCGTCCGTGTTGTGTTTGTGACACTGGGCCTTTTGTTATCCGGGTCGCACTGGCGCCCTTTGTGCTGCCTGGGTTATGTGTCTGTCTCTCCCACAAACCCACTCAGCCGGACTCAGGACGGCTTTTCAGAAACTTTTTTTTTTTTCTTCTGTTTTCCAACAATGCTGTTAACCTGCTTCCCACTGAATGATATGAGGAAATGCTTGTGGAGAGTGTGATTCCCTTTGTCTTTTCTTACCTTCCTGTCTTCTCATGAGTTTCCTGGCTTGGCTTCCTGGTTTCTCTTGGGAAAAACAAGCAAGACTATAAACCTAAGCTTCTGCAGCTCTTTATAAAATATCAGTACGGGCTTGGTTTGGCCTGGCTTGTTGCCAGAAAGCTCCGTATGTGGTCATTGCTGGAAGAATGTGCTGATTCTGGTCTGAAATATGTCAGGGGATTCACAGGTCAAATAGTGGGTCAGCCAGGGCTTACAGATTTATGCTAATCGCATGGACAGCATGATACATAGCCCACCTTCCTCTTTGGATCCTATTTTAGGATAAAAATTTCCCTCCCATCTGTGATCCCAAATATAGAGATGAACTTTAAGGAGCAGCTGCGACCGTCTATCATATAGGAAGGGCTCCTTGGAGGCGGAGCAGAATGTGGGTGGGGCAAAGTGAAGGCGGGGCTTGTTTTTGGGATCTCTTATAATGCACCAGATTAGGTTTGGAGGGTTTGGTCAGAGAAGCACCTAGGTTAGATGTCAACAGAATCTCCAAAAACACCACGATGGTGTGAGTGTGTGTGTGGTGGCTTCATAAGCCAGACTTGGCCGTGAAATGTCACCACCATGAAACACAAGTAGCAGTGAGCAGTACATGTAGGAGGCTAAATGCTCCACCTGTGCTTCACCATTCCAGGGAATTCGGCCCTATTAACATCCAGTAGGGGTTGGCGTTCTCCTGTCACGAATGAACCGGAGATGCCCCCTCTGGCGCGTGTTACAGCTGCCCTGCACAGAGAGCCCCGTTCCTCCCTTACAGATGATCCGTCTTGTCTCATCCCTGTCGTGAGGCCAGGAGCGTGTAACATTGCGCTGGAGGGTCCGCTTCACAACAGCCCAGAATAAATCACCGGGCTTACCAAGCACCTAGAATCGCACCCGCGTCTGAGTCAGGCCCCTACGCCTGTGTCGAAAAAGCATCTGGGGCAATAAAACGCAGCCCGCAGGGAAAAACATCCTGTTTTGCAGCTCAGTGACCTGCTGTGATAATGATCTGTATCTGCCCCCTAGTGGCCAAACACTTAAACGTAACGAGAGCAAGGATCTCCACTGCTCTCACAGACCTCAGGGGAAACAGTTAAGGCAGTTTAAAGCCAGTTCCAGTGCTGGAGCCAAGAAAACACAATGAAATTTTTAACCCTTGCGGATCTGTCAATGTTACTGTGAAAGGTCATTTTAAACGTATATTAACAGTTTGTGACATTTTACGTTAAATGCAGACTTTCAGATTACCCCAGTCCCAGAGGCACAAATGTGCAGCCCCGGTGGAGACGGCCTCCAATAGGGGCCAGCGTACCATATGCTGGAGACGACCTCCAATAGGGGCCAGCGTACCATTTGCTGGAGACGGCCTCCTATAGGGGGCAGCGTACCATATGCTGGAGACGGCCTCAGAGTGCCATGTGACTGAGTGTGGCTGTTCCCTGGACTGTATTAGTGAGGTCTGGTGATGATGCCCCTCTTTTTTTCTTTCTCTGGTCCTTCGCAGGTGAGCTCCTGAGCCAACCCCGACCAGAGGGGACAGCTGAGATCATCTGCCCCAAGAATGGCTCAGAGCGTGTCAACGTGGCTCTGGTGTACCCCCCCACGCCAACAGTGGTCAGCCCTTGTCTGAAATGAACCCCCCCCCCCTCCCAAGTCATCACCTACTCCTCCAAAGGCACTGCACCCCCTTCCCCCCTTCCCCTCAGGCCCACAGCCCACCCCCCTAGCCATCTCACGGGGTGTCGTCTCCTCCTTTTGATGCATCCCTGCAGCACCCCCTGCTGTCCACTCCATCATATCACACCCAGGACCCAAAGACTGCGTGGACATGTAAGCAGACACCTAGTGTGGCCTCTCTCATGTTTTTCATCAGTTAAACCTGCTGTACTCGAGTAAAACTATTACCAAACACAAAGCTCACAGTTTTCGATACAGTATATGTCAGTAATGTTAAAAGAAAGTTGCATTCAGCTCTTCAGCATAAAACCTCCACCTCCTGTAGTCCTCTCATCTGCCTCTCTGTCTCCTGCTCTCTTTAGCCTGCCTACGCCAGCTGCACCTTGGAACGACTGCCTGTCCGGTTGAGCGGGAAGTGGACCCCAGTATTGGACACTCTAGAACTGTTGGAGTGCTGCAAAGCCTCATGGGACCCCTGATTTCTCTTCCTGTTAGCATTGACGTGACTCAAGTCTGTCAGTCCTCTAGATGAGGTGGACGTCTGCTATTGGTCTCACTTAGCTGGGATAACACCAATCATATGGCACTATGCTGGGCCTGACTTGTCATAGGTGAGAGTCTGGCCAATGATATAGCAGCAATACAGCCGTGGGAGGCGGAGCTGGGATTATGATGCAAAAATCAGACTGTCAGGCTACACCAGCTTCCCCCCCCATGTGGAGAGGCTCGCCGCAGACCTCTCCCTGAGGAAGCCGAGGGTCTCGACTGTTAGAACCACTACGGCGCCACCCCCACTGCCACAGGCAGGCGGAGGAACTGCAGCCGCAGTGAGGAAACTCCCAGGAGGAGCTGAGCGACACTTACAGGAAGAGACTGAAGCCCGTCGAAATGGGTGTGCAATACTGTGTTAGCATAGTATAAACTTTCACTGAGAACCTTTGGATGCCCCCAACAAGCCTGCCTGTAAGTGGGCTCCGACATCGGTGTGGCTTTGGTCTCACAGATGGCGGGACAGAGGGGCATGGGAGAGGCATACTGATTAATGTACGTCACTCGTGTAAGAACTCAGTCAATACCCTTTTGTATATAATATCTTTATTTTTGTACAAATGCACTATGCGGTTGTCAGGCAGGCTCCCAGCGGTCGCTGCAGTGAGCCGTTTGCTTCGGGGGTGGGGGGCGGGGAGGCGTGTGACAACCGTGTACAAGCACCAAATATAAATAAACAGAAGCCCAGAGCAGGCTGTCCGTGTCCCTGTGTCAGCGTCCCGTCCTTCTCCAGGCTGACGGCCAACAGCAGCTGCTGGCAAGAACAGCGTTCCTGGAAGGGCGCCCGCATCCAGTGATGTTACAAAGCTGGTGGATGTTCGATAACCAATGCAAACTACAAACTTTGCTTAAAATCACGTTTACGCACACGGAGTACTGAACCCACAAAACTCCCATCACAGCAACAAACTACAAAAAAACAAACCCTTTCTCCCCATGTCTTGTGTGCAATGAGGGCCCAGACTCCAACTGGGAACAATTCTGCAATTAATTGGTAAACTAAAATTCTTAACATCTAGTAGACTTAAAATGCAGTCAGACAGCAATGTGGCTTTCACACATTGTTCATGGAAGTAACAGAGTACATGTATTCCATCCTATTGGATGTTACATCTTGCTGATTTGATATAAGAATTTCTATATGCTGATTTACAACATAAAGGATCTCGAACTTGATGTAGTGTCTGGTAAGTAGGCAGCAGTGTCACACTGTCTTCCACCAATGACTATATGAGCAGATTAAATCTTAACGGGTGCAGGACAGTGAGATGTGACCACAAAGGATGGGAAATATGAGATGTAAAGCAGCAGGTGGCAATAAACCTGTTTCCATCCTACGTAGCTGGTATCTGATCATATGGTTTCCTGCAGAGACATCTACTGGTTTTCATCCCCCGTATTTAACACCTAGATGCAGGCTGCATTTAAAAGTTCTTCCCCACCTTTTTGTCCCTTTTCAGACCCCGTAAGCCAGATATGTGTGTCTGATGTACCTCAGCCATCAGAGCAAAGGGAGTGAATTTTCTGCTATCAGCACTTATTTAAACACATAAGGTACAACACACACAGCATCCCTTGTGTAGGGCAAGTCTGAATCTTACTCTTCAGTGGTACAAACTTGCCAAATGCCCTCCTCTGAGCCCTGGTGCTATCCGACAGAGCCCTCTTCCCTGCTGCCTGTTCCTGTCCCCTGCACGAGGACCCACAGACAGCTTGTCGAAATACCCAGATGACTTTGGATCATTGTGCAATAAAACATATCACCAATGCCATGACTCTCCCTGGGTGTTCTTCCGGCACCAGTTAATGTTTACATCACTTAAACAAATGAGGTCTTATCAAAGCCACACAGCACAGCTACACAGAGCAAAGACAAATATGAGCAAATCACAATCCTGCCATTCTTGTTTTGATCGGATTTCATAACCCTCATGCCCATATAGGGCTGTATATTTCGATAAACATTTTTAATGTGAATAAACTGCAGAACAGAAACAAGGTTCAGCTCATGGAAAATGTGCCGTGAAACACGTCGACCACAGCGCTGTCGGCTCAGGTCATGTGACTTTATTTATACCCGTCGGTAGATTAGGTTTGCAGTGAATTGTCCTCATCCATAGACACGTAACAGACAGACACTTATCATGTATCATTCATCTTACAACACAGGCAAAAATAATATAAAAAATATAACACAATAAACAGCTAAGATAAAATGAAATGAAATAAAAGAGTAAACAAACAAATAAAATACTGTTTTACTATAACTGGAACGTTAATTTGTGTGAAGGCTAAAATTGAGCTAGTTATTCACTTTAGCTGTTTAATGTTAGCTCAGTTTTAAGAGATAAGTCCCACCCTTTGCACACTAAGTTTCAGTTTCTTCCACATGGTCGCAGGTTACAGTCCCAAGGTGAAGACCAAGATGATACAAAAGCAGTAACTGTTTTGTGGTGCGGCAGCGCCCCCTAGCGTGATATATTTTGAAATATGCTCATACATCTTCTGTTCCAAATAGAGACACGGAGAAGAGAACCACTCCTACACTCCTTACTCACACGCTATGAGCTAGGATAGGGTCATCTGACTGTGATAATGTACCAGAATATCTAGAGCAGTGTTTCCCAACTCAGTCCTCGGGGAACCCCGGCAGTCCACGTTTTTGCTTCCTCTCAGCTCCCAGCGCACCTGTACCAGGTATTCGGTGTTCCTGATTTGCTGGGAGGGAGCAAAAACGTGGACTGTCCGCGGTTCCCCGAGGACTGGGTTGGAAAATACTGATGTAGAGGGAAAACACTTTGTAACTGATTAGACGAGGCTGGTCCAGATTCAAACTCAGTCGTGTCAGCTTCTCAAACATCGCAAAATTTAAATTTGAAATGTTAATGTTCAGTGCTCATCATCCTCATTATACCATGGGATGAAAGTAGAAAGGTATTCCATGCGAGGTATTTTATCCCTCACAAACCATGAGATGCCAATGTTTAAATTCACCTGGGCACAAAGTCAACAGGTCTACATTAACAATATATAATGTATACAGCAACCATCAGTAAAGTATAGCTATATTACACTACACAACTTGCAGAAGGCTACACTGAGGCAGGTTGATTCCAGGTTCATAATTTCTAAGACAGCAGTACAAAGTGAAGAACAATGTGAAGCAGGAGACACTAGGAACGACCAGAAACCAGCCAGGGAAAGGGTGTAAGCAACGTTCTAATGCCAGAATTGACCGTCAATTTATCCAGCAGTGCCTCATGAATCGGAGGATGACACCAAGTGACCTTAAAAACGAATAGGAAACTTTAAATGCAGGTGAGAAGTGCACTGCTAGGACAGTTCGTGTTTGGATCCTAGAAGCAGGACTGAAGTTCCACAAAGCAAGGATGAAGACCTTCATTAATAAAAAAACAGGGAAGAGCCAGGCTGCAGTTTGCAAAAAAAATCTATATTTTAGACAGAAGCATACCCAATTGAGAAATTAAACTAAACATTTTGCTGTGGTCTCAGTTTTTTCCAGAACTGTAATCATAAGCCATCGTTTAAAATATTAGTTGACTATCAGCACACGTTAAACGAATATCCAGTACATTACCTAGATTTAAGCAATATTCAACTTAATTTATCACTTAAACAACACTCGAAGCCTCACAAAAAAAATACGTTTTATACAACCGTTGTGTACCACCGGTCCGCACTACACGCTGTACGCTGGGCCAATAGAAAATGAATACCGCAAAATCTCGCTGGAAGTATCGCGGTAATCCGGGCACAATGTTTTCTCCCAGAATGCATCAGTCTTCCTCTTCCTTTCCGCGGCCAGAAAAGTAAGTAATGGTTCCGAATTTCTCATAGAAGTTTGTGTATGATATCCATGAAATATCTCGTGCATCTCGTTTTGTAGGATTCTTGTTCATCATGATATTTAAACGGGACATATGGGGGCAGTGTTTTTTTTGTATTTGTCTACATTTAATGCAAGAATTGAATTGATAGTATTGTTTTACGGTAAACATATGACTACCGCTGTTTTGCCACGACTTGGTTCAAGGGAGGGGGCTTACATGTCAGGCCTTAATTAGAGATGTCGTTTTTGTGTTTTGGAGCCTTTATTAATTTCCGTTTAGCGTTTAGGTGAAATAGAGCCGGACATGCCTAGATCGTGTTGAGCTCATGAGACTTTAAACGCCCGGCTCTAACAAAATGGCAGCTCATAGCCTGCTCAAAAATGACATATCAGTCTTATTTGTTGTGGACCTTCTGTGATCTTTTAATAAGTTTTTAAAGCCATTATGTAATTTTCACCAATTTCTGTTGTCTGGTTTTAGGCACCACGATGGTCCGCTACTCGCTCGACCCCGAGAACCCGACTAAGTGTGAGTATCGACTGTCGACACGCCGTTAGAGTTGTTTCATTTTCCGTAACGCTTTACGGTGAAATGTGGCCTTTTAGCGTGCCCATTTTGATACCTTGTCTTGTCTCGCAGCGTGCAAGGCCAGGGGGTCCAATCTCCGGGTTCACTTCAAGGTACTGCCATTATGCATAATTTGCTTGATTAGGAAGTAGTATTAACCACGACTGTTCCTAATATGAAGCTGTATTCACTTCTGTAGAAATGTATGCAAGCATCCTGTAATTCAGATTACCTTTATTGTAGTCTGTAGTGTCTCCGGGCCCAGCGATTGCAATGATGACTTTCTTAGGACACCTTTGGATCAGCCGTGAAAATAATATATGTATTCTGAGCCATCGCTGTAGGAGATGTGGAACAGGCAGGCATTAATGTGTGACAGCTTTGCTTTTTTATCTGAAGGTCTGTGCATGTTTCCACAAATATGTGTTTCCCCTGTAATAAGCTATGTCAAATACACCCATTGGCTAGTTGTTAATGTTGAGTAGTGCCCCTGAACATGAGCTGAAGTCTTGTTGTCTGAACCTGCCAGTTGTCTGAACCTGTACTCTGTCCACAGAACACCCGTGAGACCGCCCAGGCTATCAAAGGCATGCACATCCGCAAAGCCACCAAGTTTTTGAAAGATGTAATGATTAAACACCAGTGTGTTCCTTTCCGTCGCTACAATGGGGGTGTCGGCAGGTGTGCCCAGGTGAGCCTTTTGTCTGTTCCCAGAGGTGCGAGCGAATGCTCTTTGCTTCTAGTCACTCAGGACTTGTGTGGGTATTGTGACAGCTCTTGCTTCAGCAAATCTTGTACCATATGTGTGGATAAGGCGATTCAGCTTCTGGGTGACTTCAGGGTTGCAATGATGACCATCTTAGGACACCTTTGGAATATACCATGAAAATAGTTTTCATACCTGAGCAACCAGGAAGACAGGCCAACAGTAGTGGTTTCATCAGTCATCAAGATGAACAGATTGAGATGCCTCCGCTCTGTCCCCCTCCCCAGGCCAAGCAGTGGGACTGGACACAAGGTCGCTGGCCCAAGAAAAGTGCGGAGTTTCTCCTGCATATGTTGAAGAACGCGGAGAGCAATGCCGAGCTCAAGGTGAGGGTTCCTGGAGTTTTTTTTGTAACACGAGTCGCTGCCACCCAGGATAGCAATGATGACATACTTAGGACACCTTTGGATCATCTGTGAAAAGAATCATACCTTCTGAGCCATCGCTGTAGGGGGCAGTAGGATGCTACGAAGCTTGCATGTGCCGTGACTGAGCATATAACTCCTCCGTCACCACAGGGGCTCGATGTGGACTCCCTGGTCATCGAGCACATCCAGGTCAACAAGGCCCCCAAGATGCGCAGGCGAACCTACCGCGCTCATGGCCGTATCAACCCCTACATGAGTTCCCCCTGTCATATCGAGATGATCCTCACTGAGAAGGAGCAGATTGTTCCGAAGCCTGAGGAGGAGATTGCTCAGAAGAAAAAGGTGAGCCTCTATTTGCACATGCCATGTTTGGTAGTGTGACCTGCTGGACTGGACCAGGGGGGTATCCACAAAATGAAATGTGAAAACTGTCCACTGGGAGCAGAGGCAAGTGACTTTCTTGTTGGACAGTCTTTATTTTGGATTTAATTATCTAGTTAATGGAAAAAATCATGATTTGTGGAATACCACCCAGGATTGGTCAAAGATTCAATACGTGCTTGTAGAGGCAGGCAGTCCAGTTCAGCAGGTGCTGAGCTTGTGTGTTAGTTTGCCCAAGGACACTTTCTTCTCCTGGTTCTGGAAATTAAACTTGCCAAGAGTTATGGGTTGCAGTGATGACAATCTTAGGACACCTTTGGAATTAACTGTGAAAACAAAACTTAAATCTGAGCAACCAAAAACTTCATTCTAAAACTTGTGTGGTCTACCCCAGCAGTGTGTGGAAGCACCTGTTTTTGTCTGATTGGTTGAACTGCTGTCACCATCTTGTCTTTGGTCTGCAGGTTTCCCAGAAGAAGCTGAAGAAGCAGAAGCTGATGGCACGGGAATAAGTGTATATAAAATAAAAGTGAATTTCACTTCTACCTTGTGGTGTCCTGTTGTGTTTATGGGTCTGGAGTAGCAGGTTCGGAACTATCTCTGCATCTTTTGGGGGTTGGGATCTGTGTGTTTGGGTAGGTCCTTCTAGGGGAGCTGGCTGGATGTTGCTTCAAGTCCCCTCATTTGTAATGTGGGTGGACTAAATGGAGTTAAGCCAGTGCTAAAAGATTCAAGGCTTCCTTATGGAATCATGAGGTGATCATGGAGTTCTGTTGTCTTAGACCAGATGTTCATAGAGATACCTGGAACAGTCTATTAAAACAAGAAGAAAACAAGCATCCAACAAGAAACCTAATTTAATGCTGTGGCACAGTCAGAGCTTTATACTGGTGGAAATTGGCAAAGTGGCTTAAGTTGAAATGGGTTCAACGTGGACATCCTGGTTTTAATTAGATTGATGTGAGAAGGTTCCAGGGTCCAGTGCTGCCATGGTGTGGGGTGGCCTCAAGCAGGACCATGAAGTTTCAGAAATTCAGCAGCAGTCTTGGTTTCAGTAAATTGTTGGAGGGTCAGGCACTGCTGCTGCATGGTGCTGAGGTCCAATGTCCTGCAGTATCAGCTAAATGCCCTCTGAGTGCTGCAAGCTAAAATCGGCAAAGCCCACGACCAAAATGTTTGCCCTTATCCTCATGGGAGGCTGTCCAGGTGACCGGCTCTGTCCCATTGAGGGACTCCAGACAAGCCTGTCCTCGCCAATTTCCTAAACATTTTGCCTTATCCAACAAAAAGATGAGTTACATGGAGCTGAAGTGAAGTAAGTTCCTCTGGTTTACAATGGTTCTCATTCCAGGACTGGAACTGCTACCTAACTGGTTGATCCCTCCTTTTCTTTTTTACATCCCAAGACATGATGGGAACGATTTCTTTTAAATTTTCTGCTCAGATCTATTTAAAAAGTGCCCATCACAACTACCATTTAACCTGTCTCTAGGTAAGAGAACCCCCCCCCTTTTTGTTCACCCAAAATTTATCGAGCTTCTCAGGTCAGGTCAGGTTGGGGATGATGCCGATACAGCTGATGCAGCGCGTTGCCACACCCACCACATAGCGAAAGTCCTTGGGATCCCGGCCGGCGACCCCCCCAGGCAGATACATGGTCCAGTCCCACTCTCCAGAAATGGTCATCCATCTGCCTCAGCCAGGTGTTACGTGGGCATCCCCTCGGCCTGGTCCAGCCACTTGGGTCCTCAGCAATGAGGATCCTGCGAGCCGGATCACCCTCAGGGAAACGCACCACATGGCCATAGTGCCGTAACTGATGCTCCCTCACAATGCAGGTAATGCGCCTCATTCTGGACTCCTCTAGCAGCCGCTCATTCCACACAAAGTCAAACCAGCGGTACCCCAGGATTCTCCGAAGAGACATAGTACCGAATGAGTCCAGTCTTCATCTCAGCTCACTGGATAGTGTCCATGTCTCACAGCAAGACAGGGAGCACCAGGACTCTAAAGACTTAGAACTTCTCCTCAAGCAAAATTAGCTGAGGGGACACCTCCCCCCAGATCGGCAGAATGTAGGCTACCAAGGGGAAAGGGGAAGCTTGCCCGTCGAAAAGTCTCTACACGGCCCTGACGACATGTTTGCGTTAAACAGTTCAGTCCGGACTAATAAACTAACAACGGCTTAATTCCGGTTCATCCAGTACACTTAGACAATTGTCTAAATTGCAGCTGCGAACTTTCGAATTACTTTTATGTCATTTGTCCACTAGGTGCCGCACGAAGCACATGAATTATTGACTACAGGCAATCGTACTTCAAACTGTCAGAGAAACAGTGCAAGTTACGGTGTTGCGACTTAATTATAGCCTCCTCTAAACTGCTGCCCTAATAAAATGTGTTAATGTTTTCATACATGCCTTTCTTATTCTTAAATAATTTGTATTAATCAGTATTTGTACACCGATAAACTGCGGTCGTCCGATGATATAGCCTTAATTCAAGTAGGACTGAGATATACATGCGAATTTATTTTAGGTTTCCAAAATATTTTTCTTTTTTTCTGCTCACAGTCACATGTCACACAAAAACTGAATGAACTGCAAAGTTAAAAGTTGCCAGAAGTTTCGTTTTACGTACCACGTCAAACTTTGTCGCCCGTTGTGTTATATCATCCTATTCCATGCACAGATGACAGCATGTCGTTGCCCCAGACTGCAGACTGCAGAGCCCCATCGCCAAGTTCCGCAAGTGTCGATGGTGAATCAGCGCGAAATTGTTTCCTATGGTCATGGTGTTCTTACTGATGCTGGCGGTCATTGTACTGTTGAACCATGTGAATAGTAAGTTAAAAGGGAAAAAACAGCAGTGCAGAAGCGAGGAAACGAGACAAAGCATAAAATAATTAATCATCTATAAAATCATATTTTTTCTTGTAACCGTTAAATAAATTAATACATAGTTAACGGTAATGACACAAAAATGTTGTATTTTGTAAAATTCTTTTATGTAAAAAATAGTTATAAATAGGTGTAAAAATATAAATTAAAAATATAGCAGTGTAATTTGTCTCATCGATATCGATCTTTTCCAAAGAATATGTACACAGTACTTGAATTACTGCGTTTATATTGTCACCTACACAAGATGATGGAGTGTCAAATATACGTGTATCTGATCATCGTACTGGGGGAATATAGAAAGGAACGGAGGAACTTGTCCAAACATGATTTAACGCCTGATCTTCCAGTGGAAACGGAACAAAATAATCACTCAAATACTACGACAATACAAACCCGATAGTTCGAACCTTATGGCGACAATAAGAACAATTTTAATGCTATAATAAAAATGAAAACAACTACAATAATAATAATAATCGTTTTAGTTAGTAAGAAAATGACCATTAAAAAAGAGCAAAACCTTGACCCGGGACGATGACAATCAATTTCTTTATTTAGACTAGTGTTTAATAGTACTTACTTTCACTAACATTGTAACTCGACATTCTCCTACGTTTGCAAAGTCTCAGAAAGCAGATGCGTGGCTGCACAAGACGAGGCTAAACCAGAAAAGCGAGTGAGTTCATAGTGAGCGCGATGCGCAAACCAAAGGAAACGTAGCCTGTCGCATTTTTCCATATGCGTATAGGCTAATGGCTGTATCATAATTATTTGCGCTCTTTCAATGGACAATGAGTTCATGACCTATCTCGAACTACTAGGCTTTCCAATCGCTTTTGAATTAATATAGCCAAAGAAATGGGGCACTCTGGACCATCTTTTTCGCGTAACAAACGCATGCAGATGGCCCTTTATCTGGGAAAAAAATAGATCTCAAATTGACTAGATTGATTTAGTACTTTTGTATGTAATAGCCGATCGAATGGCAACTCTTTTAATGTGCAAATGAAAGCGCTGGTATGAGGGGCCAATAAGAAGCCGGTACACGAAGTGGGGGCTTGCGGCTGACACGGGGGACGCGTCACCGCAGCGCTTGCCCAATGGCGACAGAAACGCCGCCTCCTCCGTCTAAGTGACATTCTCAAAGTTTTCACTTTTGCTGCAAAAGACAGTAAGAAAGTGACGAAAATGTTTTATTATCTCCGAGAGCTTCGCGCGCGCCGCCGAGAAAGGGCGCCTCTTTATTTATAGATTTCTGAGCATTAAAAAATAAAGTTGCCACCGGTAGAGTTGAAGCAGACATTAGAGCCGGGGAAAGGCGCTTGGAGATCCATTCCTCTAGAATGCCCTGTCTTCAAGATATGCAAGACTGAAGAAGGAAAGACACTGGATTCCTTTTCCTCTAGGGATGGGTACAAAACTCAAGTCCTAAGAAATTTGGATCCTAGAGCAAAATTGCCTGCACCTTAAGACGAATGTGTTATGAGAAAATCTTTTTCAAGTTCATCATATTGACATAAGACGCTAGGCGTTTAGACAGATTTCTAACTTAGCTGTGCTTTCTTTTAATCGAGAAGTATTATTTTAATAAATACTCCCGTGGAAGTAGTGAGGACAACTGGTACTGAGTTATATTGTTTATCATTATTTTTGGTTATGTTAGCGGTGGGGCAGATGGACGGGTCTCGTCAGAGCGCCTTTCTGCTTAGCACGCCGCCGTTAGCCGCTCTGCACAGCATGACCGAAATGAAGACTCCCCTGTACCCGGCTTATCCCTTATCCTCCACCGGACCCGCCTCGTCTACTTCACCTTCGGCCACCTCCCCCAACCCCGGCGGAATTCCTGTCTCTTCCCCGGGGATAAAATCGTCAGCCGGGCTGTCCTCTCTCCTATCACCGCACCAGTGCGCGATCGCTACCCCACACGGAATAAACGACATCCTCAGCCGTCCCTCGGTGGTCTCCGCGGGGGCGGCGGCGGCCGTGGCAGCCTCCTCTTCCGCTGGAATCTTGTCAGGACTGCCCCGCTTCAGTAGCCTGAGCCCCCCGCCTCCCCACGGGCTCTATTTCAGCCCTAGCGCCGCGGCGGCCGTGGCAGTGGCTCGCTACCCCAAACCACTGACAGATCTCCCCGGCAGGACCCCTATATTTTGGCCTGGGGTCATGCAGAGCCCGCACTGGAGAGACGCCAGATTTGCTTGTTCACCGCGTAAGTTTTCAGTTTAAGATGTTTCGTGTTCATGGCATTGTTGACTGTAATATCTAACATCTACACCGCTACGGGTTTAAATAATTACACCAGTTTCCCGATGCTGACATTGCTTTTATGTGAATATAAGTATGTGGCATTAAGTTTTTGAGTTTTTGTGATCTTTATTTCAGAAATTTATAAATATAATTCTAAACGTAAGCACGGCAATCTTCAAATGAACGAGACTTGCATTTTAATTAAGGCTGTTGCCGAAGAAAAAAAACGATTAATTTACATATATCCAACGGAGATTCGTAAAACATGCCATGCTTAATACTGAAGGCAGCTAAAAGTCATCGGGAAATTTATGTGGTTAGCTTGTGAATAAAACATCGAAAATTACCCTGGTTAACATAAGTTGTTATCTTTTCAGATCAGAGTTCGGTGTTGCTTGACAAGGACGGAAAGAGGAAGCACACGAGACCCACATTTTCTGGACAACAGATCTTTGCCCTGGAAAAGACTTTTGAACAAACGAAGTATTTAGCGGGACCGGAAAGGGCCCGACTGGCCTACTCACTGGGGATGACGGAGAGCCAAGTGAAGGTGAGAGGATCGTGTCAAACTTTAGATAAGGAAGTACGGATCACGCATTGCTGAGATTAAAAGGAAACCCCCCTTAATTTCACTAGCAATATTATAGAGATTTTGGGAGTTTTTTTTGGAAGGTAGCCTATCCTGAAGCGATCCCTTTTTTGAACTGTTTAAGTTGGAGATAATCGTTTCATATTAACTCATATTTCAAATAATGTATTATAAATAATATATTTCAGTCCAGTTGTAAATGCCATTGTTTACTCAGTAGCGACTGTAAGAGCTGAATAAAAAAAAATCTTGGTACATATTTCACAGTTGTACAGTTAATCTTAAATCATACAAAATTTAAACAATTGTGTTTAAGGAGGGTAGGTCATGAAAAGTGCATTCTGCTCCAGATAAGCAGTATTATTGTAGCGTCATTAGTTTGCTGTGTCATTTAACTTTAGATTAAAAACATGATTGTTGCTGCTAATCACGAAGTATCTTTACAGAATCTGTAAGGATCAGTCTTCTATTTTTAAAAGAAAATTGTTATCCTGTATTTGAGGTCAAATAGCAATAGTTAAAGTTAATAATAATAGTTTTAGTGTAGTAGGTCTATATGTTTCTAGGCCATATATAACGTTTTGGCAATATAGCACACGGATTTTTGCGATTCGTTATGCACAGAATAAAATAACCAGTAAAATGTTATGACTGTTGAACAACTTATAAATCTCACAAAAACTTTTATTTTATTCCCTATAATTAAATATTGAAATACACTGTTTCCCCCCCCCCAAATTTTCATACATTTATAATTATATTTATGTTTTAAAAACCAGACTCATCGTTAATCTTTTTATTATTATTATTATTATTATTATTATTATTATTATTTATTTTATTTTAAAAAGCCAAAATTAGACAAACTCATTTGTAGCTACCTGACTTCTGACAGGAAGTTGTTGACGTTAGATTTTATTTTAAAACGCTTCAATTCCATCCCAGGTTTGGTTTCAAAACAGAAGGACAAAGTGGAGGAAAAGGCACGCGGCAGAGATGGCATCGGCAAAGAAAAAACAGGACTCGGAGACGGAGCGTCTAAAGGGGGCCTCGGAGAACGAAGACGACGATGACGACTACAACAAGCCTTTGGACCCGAATTCGGACGATGAGAAAATCACTCAGCTCTTGAAAAAGCATAAACCGAACTCGTCTCTTCACGTCCACACGTCAGAAAACGAAAGTTCTTAGAAACAAAAGAAGAAATACCGTTTTCCAGTGACATGAAGCACTGAACCTGTCTTAAATCAGTGGCCTATCTTCATTAACAGTGTGAAATGAAGTTTGATTCGAGCGATGAGGAATGTACGGCCCGTTTCGGAGGAATGGAGACTATTTTTTTTTCACGACAGAAAAGCCACAACATTTCCACATTAAGATGAGGGTACTTTCTTGTAAATACCAGCGTGAGTTGTACTAAATAGAAATTATATTGCTGTGAATATTTATGTGTAAAATACATTTTGTATAAAACCCACCACTGTCCCCTCTGCGTCCCTCATCACCGTTTCGGCTTTGTAATTCTCAATGACGAGAGGTAACGGTTTACTTAAGCCCCTTTTCGTTTTTTAAATATTTACTATTTCTGTTAACGTCTGATGGGCTTCTTCTTAATCCAAGTTGCTTATGTATGCTTCTAATATTTTGCATTTTTAACTAATATTTCTACCGATCCGTCAGAAATCAATAAACATTTATAATGATCCATGAGTAAAACGATAAAATAAAGAGCTCATTTTAAACAGGAACGCGGTGAACATTAATGATGAAACCAGCCAGTTATTTCACCTGTAAATAAACAGATAAAACAGCAGGATATGACTAAAATATATTTGTAATATAATGCATCCAGTGTTTGTCGGCCCATTTTTGTTGACATTTTCACACTTTAATTAATTTATATAATGTTTAAGTTTGTAACAGTGTTTGAATCCTGCAATATTGTGTGCTGCAGGTTCATATGTATCGCACTTTTATTTAATAAAATTTAAAAACAATGTGAAGGTTGTTTTTTTCTGATTATATCCTGAGGAAAATAATCGCGTCTGAGAAATATTTAGCAGCAGTAGAACTGTATTGATATTTAAATATTTTGAACTATCAATAACACATGAATAACTATTTTTTTCTATGATATTACGTTACCAAAAATAACTAGTTAATTCAATTCATTTTAATTTTGTTTAGTTCATTTGTGTTTATTTAGTGTATGTTTATTAAATGTCATTTGTTTGTTAACTACAATAATAATTTTATTTTTATAAACGGGATCTCGAGGGTGGTAGTAGCGAACATATTTGTTCCCATTATATTATTAGCAAATAATAATGCAACCAATACATTCGAAAAGCAACTAATTATACTATAATAATATGAGGAATTATTGTAAATTGTTGTTAATTTTAATTATAATTATCACTGTCCTCATATTGTTATTGCGACTGATTCAGTACAATATATATAACTAATAATATAAACAAAAACTGCAGGGTCTTGCAATCTATTTTAAACTTTTATATACCGAAACCTATCAAACATCTGTGTCATTATAACTGAAAAAGCGCTGGTCCCGATAAAGCCTCTCTCGCTGACTGCGAGATATTTTCTGGAGCCTCGTCTAGGACTGCAAAGAAACTGTCGAAAAACACAGATATTCCGGAAGTAGCCGACGCGGAAAGTGCTGGGAAAGGGTCATGATAAATTTATACTGCGACCGACGCAGAAATGCACTCCTCGCTGTCTATACGTTTACAGATACAGCTGATTACATCAGCATGTTCTTTTAAAATTGGAAGGCAGTCAACCGCCCAGGACTGGTAAATATTTAATTTATCCGATGCGATTTTAAAAGATGCAAGACCTGCTAAGTGTGTTCAGAGAGATCTAGCTGTCTCAAATACGGGAGGATTTTATAATTATTTAAAGTGGATTCCTCTATAGACTGCTGACCCCAGTACCCCCCTCTCACTGTCACGTAAACCTCACATCCGGATTAATGTCTTTCGAACTTAGGAATTTTAACTGGACATCACATCCAACACATCCCACAGAGGGAATGCGCGTGTTTTTGCTGTTTATTATCGTTTATCGTATAGCGGAGATCATTTCCATCATTGAGCAATTAGACATTCGTCAATTTGAAGTAATATAAATTTAATCAACCACGTCAGCATTTAAAAATTGAAAATACTATATTTTAAACAATTTCAATTTCAGATGCAGATATATTTCTATCAATTTATCTTCTAACCGATTATCCCCTTAAGGGTTGCGGGGGCTGGAGCGTATACCAGGCATTAGAGGGCTGGGGCACACCCTGGACGGGACGCCAGTCTTTTGCAGGTGGAACTAAGATAAATAAGCTGAGAGTTTTGATTTAGTATAATTAAATGTATTATGCAAAACTATGCAAAAGGGGACGAAGACAATGGGAAGTACAATTTGTGACTGAATTGTAACACGTGCTCCACTGAAAATTTGTTTTCACAATAAAAAATAAAGCAACAAACAAAGCAGAATATTGACATTTTATTCCGAAAATTACAGATTTGGTAGACAGGTATCTACGTTTTAGAGTAGTTCAGTGTTTAGGGTATATGTGTTCAGTAGCCGTGGAATCGCTTTGTTATTTAGAACTTGGCCGGCCTTCTTTTTTAAAGTTAATGACCAAAACTGTAAAAGGACTGCTTGTCGAATTAACAAACAGAATATGCAGGAATATTATTCATGTCTGGGAACGGCAAACGGAAGTTTATTCCAGTAATTTGAACCTGGGAATTTCAAAGCAATGAAATGTTTTGAATGCCTCATGCACATGGTAATAAAATCGGCAACAGACGAGCGAAAAGTCCGGCGGCCGGGAATCACAGAAACTGGCGAATTAAACAAACGCAGATTCGGAAAGTTGTGACACGGCGATAAGCGACGGATCATCTTGCCTTTGAAAATAGCTTTTCCTAGAAAATATAACTAATCTAACTAATGTCAGGCTTTGTCTGAGGCGCTCATTTTTGAGTGGGTGAACGTTGGTAGGTTGTGATAATATCATTTAATCCACGTTAAACAGTTGTCTGCGTGTTTTTCCTGGAGCACACAATTTCGTCTGGCGTCCCCCGGTTTTCTATCGACAATGCTGGTGATTAGAGGGGAATGGCTCGCAGTATAATTAGGGACCTACACAGCTGAGACGGCTGCATGATCTGCCTTTCGCTTTATCGGAGGACGAGGAGAAGCCCGGCGGGCGACCGAGCCAGCAGAGGATGCTGCAGGCGTGCACTCACAAAGCTGACAGTCGCTCTCCTTGGACGGACGATGACAACTCGAAATTGAATAAAACAAAGAAACATCATGTGCTAACCGGTAATTCTGCCAGAATTATTGTGGATTCGACAGCAGGTGCCGGGAAAGCTTTCGAACAACGTATTGCGGTGGCAAGAATCACTTCATCGTTAGCAAGGAAATGATTGCCAATTGAACACCAACTTCAGAGATTTAAGTCTGGCTGATTGTGCTTTGATTGTGCAAACCGTACACTTTTAATAAATGCATGTAAAATTAACCGCTATACTCATGAGGGATTCTACTTTTTTTACCGTGACATCTCATGCAGGAGGAAGACCATGTGATATTCTATACATGGTCCAAAATGCACCGGGTACTATTTTTAATACTGTTTTTCACGACTACGGGAGAATTTTGAGGATTATCGTGTCATACACTATTTGATTAAAAGTAATTCGGTAGATCAAACCGGAATAGTCCAGAGCCTATCGCTAATCTAACTATAACAAACAACATTGAAAACGTTAAACTTGGACCCTGAATATGTGAGCCAGTCTCGAGACCTGCAGTCATGAGTCCTTATGGATCTTCTTCAGTCTGCATTTACATCACGACGTTTTTATTATTCTCCTTAAGGAATAGAGAGAACATACTTTATATTATTTGCCAATTCCAGTTTTTATAAATTATAAAACACATGAAAAGTACTTCTGTGCTTAATTTTGTTTTGTCGAAAAAAAAAAATCAGTTTATTAAAAGCAATTCAGATTATAGGCCTATCTGTCAGCAGAAATCGGTATAATTATATCTGCTCATTGTTAATGTTGATTATTCTCTTAAGTCACCAGTCCTGGAAAAAAAATATTTCGAAATTTAGCAGCTTCCACTGTAAATGACTCACTGAGGTAACCAGAACCATTTCTCTTCACCTGTCCTCCCTTTCCCGTAATTGCAGTTAAGATAAAACGTCATTAACATGCAAAGAACTGGGCGAACTAATCCCTATCCCGCCGTTTACTTTCCAGTGCTCAGACGTCTCAATGAGCGGGAGAGTGCCACTTGAGATAACACTGCTGTTAAGAACAACAATGCGAAGTAATGTTCATGTGTATTGAAAACAGCAATTGACAGTCATTAGAATGGATTCGCAAGATAAAGTAGCCTATAATAGCGAGGAATTTACTTTTGTCTCATGGCGCTCGCTACCTTTGTTTTAGAAAGAAATCATCCAAAATGCGTATAAATTGTTAGGTTGCTCAAGCTGGTTTTGACATTTTCGTTTTATCATAGCGGTAGACGTAAATGTTGACCTGATACCGTTCTGTTACATATCCAGTGCTACTTCCTTTAAAGTAACCTTTAATAACTGAAAATTAACAAGCGACAACCACAAATATATATATATATATAATATGGGCCTATTATTATTATTATTGTTATCATTATTATTATGAGTGACCTGCATGCATGCAAACATACGAACTTTGTATTTGAGCACAGTATGAGTAATACGCAGTCAGAGTTTTCTGTCTGAACGCAGCGTTATTAGTAGCCAATCTCTCCATGTCAGATAGATAGCACCACGTTGTGTACTACGTGAACCCGGCATTTACCCTAGTGAAATGTAGTGGCACGCGCAGCGGCGCATCTCTCACTGTCTGCTTCGTGGGCGCCTTTCCGAAAGTCAGCGCAAAATAACCTGACAAAATATGAAACACAGTCAACCGAAGCGTGCTGTAATAAGATGGAAGAGACCGAGTTTTCCTCACTTGTTGCTGATTGCTTCGTTGTCTTGCTCGCAAGTCACCTGTACTTGTGCCGACGATTTATGATTTTTTCGCTTATAAAGTGCATATGTGTGATAATAAAACGTGTTTATCATTGAATTGCGTCAACTAATAATTTCTGAATCTATAGATTACTTTAGTAATCTGTTCAAGTCTTTAAGATTTATATAACGATGAAGAAGCTATTTAAAACGGTATTACTGAATCTAATCATGAATTATGTTGACCAAGGTCGATTTGCCACCCAGTGACAGTATGTAAGTTTCACTCACACACACACACACACACACACACACACACACACACACACACACACACAGGTTTGTAATTATATCTGTGGGGACTCTCCATTCATTTCTATAGGGAAAACTCTAATCCCAACATGACGACCTTAACCCCTACCCAGCCCTAACCTTAACCATAAGTAACCAAACAAAATACAAGACTTTAGGCATTTTTAGTTTTTTTTTTATTGCAGTCGCAGATTTTTATGAAATTGAATTACCTCCGAAAAATCTGTCAAACGTCAAAATGACAGGTCTTTATCACATTGTGGATACATTTGGTCCCTACAATGTAATGTATACCACATATGTAATGTAGACCACACACAAACACATACATATTCAGTTTGGAAATATCTTTTTAATTTTATTTATTTATTTTTTACAAAACTGGCGTCACTTCTGACAGTTCGTTTGGTCGGTCAGTTCTGTTCAGAGCAGTATTGTTTTGGACTTTTCGTTAAGGTTAAGGATTTTCAAGGTTTGTTGTGAATGTATTCAATTCTCATAATCGGCAATTCTTGTGTAACAGCATATGTTGTGCTTGTGGCTATTTTATACACCGTGAGGTTGTTTTTTCCGCATTACACCAACTAAGCCGTCACAGACCATCGTAAAATGTAATTCATCAACT